ATTTTTTGGGGGGGGGGGGGGGAGTGGTGTTAAACGCTATTCCAGCAGAAGCTATTTAAGTATTTTCATGCAATTAAATAAAAACTAAACTTACTTGGGAAACAAGAGATTGAAATCTTGAAAATTCCGATCCAGAAAATTAATCAAAACCTCGCATTGGTATTTATTATAGCAGAACACTCTGAAATGCTTGGAAATATTTAATACCTAATTTGGCTGCAGCCACAACGCATCTTTTTAACTTCACAGTCCCTTAATCGGAGCTCAGCAGCATCAGGCGGAGCAGATAACGGCCCTGCCAAAAACCCTTCCGTATGTCCATGTTGCTTCCCTGCACGGCCCTCGTGCCGGCTCCGAGCGCTGCTGCTCACAGCTCTCCAGGAAGAGCAGCAAGAGCCCCCTGCCCACGAGGAGCACCTCTCGCCACCATGCACCTTGAGCCAACACCGGGCTCATCACACAGCTTATTTTATCTTAAAGAGGAGGCAGGCGCACAGTAACTTTGGCCACCAGCAAGGGACAGGACAAAAATCCCTCCTGAAGTAGAGGGTTGCAAGGGGGTGAGAGCTTGGACAGAGGAACTGTCTGCCACTACCCGTTAGGGGCAGGAATTAAGACAGGAAGCATCATCTCCTCCAGAATTAATAGAGACCAAGTTAAATTCCTTTGTTGGAAGCGCCTTATTGGAGGTTTTACACATCTGATTGTTCACCATATGTCTGGGCTTCCAGGACTTCATAGAGCTAAATGCTCTGTGCACAAGGCGTGCCATTAAAGCTCACCACGAGATGACCCCACAACACCTCGTGGGCTGCTGAGCACACTGCTAAGGCAGGACGCTCTTTGCCGTATCCAGGGCACACACGGCTCGATGCAAGAAGAATTGGGATCACTGTCTGCACTGTGGATGTGATCCAGTGAGGATTTATTTACCTGAAATCCAAGGAGCCGGGCAAAGAAGTTGGACCCCAAATCACCAATGACAACATAGAAGGCAATGCAAGTTCCCAGCATCAGCCCAATCATGCTGCAAAAACAAAAAAATACACACAGGTTGGGAGGCTGGAGCAGGAACCCTGGAACGCAGCTCCTGCTCCTGGGCAGGTGTGTGTCAGCAGCCACATTCCCAGCGGATTCGTACCCTGCACAGCCCTCGCGAGAGGACCAGGCTTTGTTAACGCTAAGGTTACCTTAGAGACACTGCCTGGGACCGCCGTAACTGAGCCTGCGGCGATGGGGCCCCCACCGATGACACGTGAGCAGTGAGAACACCGCTACGTGCCCTGCACAGAGCAGGGCTACAGTTCATGTGCTGGGAGCAAGAGACATCCTACATAACCCTTCACCAGCAGCTGCAGCGTAATTCAAAGGTTTAGCACCGACAAGGTCTCAAGGGCTACACCCTGCACACAATCGCAACAGCTGAAGAGTGCTTAGGACCCTACTGGACCCTACTGCACCCGCCGTTTACCAAGGAACATCCGGAAGGGTTAAACAGAAACAGCTAAAAGGGTACATTTAAAGTGACTTAAAGTCTTGTGCAGCCACTTGCTTGCGCTCAGAGGTAGAGCAGCCTCAGCGTGCCTTGCTTCAGCGTACATCCACCCTCGAACACAACTTTCTGGCCTTTCACGGTGGAGGCAAGCCCCAGATTTTGCTGAACCCACACTGAAAAACACGTTTGGCAACCAGTAATAAAGTAGGTTTTCTGTCCACAGGGATACAGCGGGCTGCGAGCTCGCTCTCACAGCCGTATGAGCAGGCTGTGCATCACTACTGGTGCTAGAGGGGAGGACCACGCTTTTATCCTCAGGCTTGTGAAGGGCAGGCCACCAGTTCTGCGTTCAACCCTAGTAAAATAAAACCCAGAGAACCTCCATCCACCTCACAGCCACCCCTAACATCTTGGCTAGAGACGCCGTTCTGGTAACAACCTGTGCATGGGTTTAACTGCTGTTTGGAGCCACAGAAAAAAACCCAAACCTTCGAGATGGCAAGAACTCCTTTATTCCTTGGAAAAGCATTTAAAAGAATCAGCAAGAGGTTCTCTCAGCACCATGCCCCGCAGCAGGGGCCTACCATGAAAGTCTTGATACCAAATCGGCTCTCAAACTTCTCTCCACAAAATGGACCACTCTTTAATGAAAAGATTGTCTTATGAACCGCTTCTCCTCCCATTCCTGATTGCATGGACCGCTTTCCCTCCCAGTTCCAAGTATATAACATCCCCGTGGCAATTACAGCAATTGCTTGCACGGACAAGTAACGCCTGAGAAATATTCTGTGTGTTTTTAGTGTTCTGCAGCAGTTTGCAGCTGAGAAGAGGGAAGGAGCCAGCACCGCTGACTGGCCTGGGCTCAAGACGCCTCCACCAAAGAATCTCTGCTGGGAAAAGCAGCGCTGTAACGATGTCCCATTGCCTATCACGACTGCTCAACGAGACCCACGAGGGAGCATTGCCATCTGAGGCACGGGAGTCTGTCCTGAAACGGAGACAGGATTTCCCCCCCAAAGCACCTCCTAACGCCTGGCATCTCGCGGAGGAAAGCGGCGCCCGCCGTGAGGAGCGGGAAGGACCAGAGCAGCTAAAGGGTGGATCCGAGGTACTGAACGCTCTCCCTCCCACTAACTCACGGAAATCTTGGCAGGGAGATCTCACCCCTGGAAAACATCCACAAGAGACATGCCCATGATTTCACAGCACACGCAGCAGAGCGGGAGAGGAGTTCATCCCCCGACTTCTGTGCTCCCGCTATCTGGAAAGCACCCCTGTCTCCACTCGGGAACGGGTGGGACATGCTGAAGGCGACACCTGCGAGCTGTGCTTAGGGGACCTCCCTTACGCTCTTGTTCAAATTCTAGGTGGCGAGGAAGACTTCTGGGACCAGAGAAGGCAGGAGGGTAAGAAACGAGAGCGCAGCAAGGCCACAAGAGGCTACAGAGCAGAATTTTTCATTAAAGAAAACCAAACTATTCAAGCTTTAAATAAGTAGCAGATTACCTTGTTTCCACCAACATTTTTCCTGCTTTTCCATAGGCATGAAATGCTGGCATAAGAGGAAAAAAAAAAGTTATAATTAGTCAAAGGAAGATCCAGAACATGGCGCACACACGAGTTTGGCATTAAACAATAATAGTGACAAAGGGCAGTGCAGCAGGAACCCACGGGTGTTGTGTTTTGGGGCTGTTTCCCTTGCCCGCCCTCCCACTTTCTTTTTCAGACGTGCCCTCCGCAAACTGAAAACCACATAAGACAGGAACAAAGATGAGGAAAAGATAGAAGCAGGTTCTTTTTTTTTTTTCTTCTATTTAAAAAAAAAAAAAGGGGGGGGGGGTGAAGTAGCAGCAACACATGGCAACCATTAAAAGAAAGTCAGCGCGGAAGAGAAAATATGCATGTATAAGATGCTGTGTGGCAAAAAGTTACTGCAGTGCAAAATTTCAATCAAACTCTCATTTTTATTTTTATCTTCCCACTATAACTGAACCGCCTGACGTTGCTGGATGGGAGATCTGAGATGGTGCCCAGAACGTTCAATCCCATACCCAGAATACCCAGTACTCGCAACCCACACCAAAGGGCTGCTGCCAAGAGACTTTTTTTTTTTTCCCCTCCCATACTTGGGTTGTAGCTTGTAGCAGAAAATAATCAGTAGTCTTTAAATCATTGTTTTTTCTTAAAAAGAAAACGCCAAGAAAACTCCGCTTGTATTTTTAGATCTTACTGGGTAAGATGGGAATTGAGACCTCCGGTTCCAAGCACAGACCACATTGCCCGATTCCGCCAGCCTTTAAATGCAGAGGTCCAACATGAAAACCACCACCCTGGACTCCCCTTTGTCTTCTCTCAAGGTACAGCACACATTCCTGGAGGCCGCCAGAAAACAAACTTTATTGCCTTCTGGAAGCATCTTCTGCTATTTTAAATATTAACTCACAAACTCTGATTTCTTTGGACTCTGCTTGAGCTAAAAATTAAGGAAACAAGATGTTCTCCCACAGAATGAGAAAACAGCATGGCAGGAGACCCACAGCAGAAGAATAAACCGGAGCTGTTATGTGGGGTAGCACCGAAAATAGCCGATGGCTCGGTGACAGACCGGGGGGAACAGCCGCCACCAGGCGTGCTGCCCGAGTGCGAAGAGCGGCCGCACCGCTTCGGCCTCCAGCTCTCACCTCGTTTAGGAACTCGCGACGATAAGGGGAAAAGGCAACAGCCCTTGGGGGGTTTCAGTCACACGGTCAAAGGGCCAGGGATGAGAGAGAGAGGAACCGGCAAGAGGAAAACATCCCTCCTGGAGACTGGGTCATTAACGAGCCCACCTCCAGAAGGACTGCTGCCGCCGCACCGCTCCTGCGAGCTCCTTTTTTACGTCACGCAGAGGTAGGTGCCTCCAGATAACAGCTACAGCTGCCGGCGACAGCCTAGGCCAGAGGTGCCGAGAAACAGCCAGTCTCCTTGGCTGTTCTGAAGTGATGTTCTAATGAGAACAAGCTTTCAAACGTTATGCCAGATGTCCCCATCTGGGGACACTGGGAAAATTGGGATCCTTTATCTTCTCAAGGAGGAAGGAGATGATGACTGTAAAATAAATCGTACAGTCGAGCATCTTCGGAATGGGATCTCTAGATGCCTAACAAGCCGGGCAGAGCTGAATCTGCTCAGTAATTAGAAAAGCCCTTTTAAAGCAAGTGTGGTTACTGGAACGGGCAACCTGTGTTCCAGCACTTCTCTCTCTGCAGGGAGCAGAGCCGAGCTGCCTCCCGGGGGCGCAGCATGCTGCTGACGGGGTCGGTACCCAGCACAGGTAGGCTGCAAAGACCCAAGGCCGCTTTCAGCAGCTGTGAGGGGAGGCATTAACTCATCTCCTGGTTAAAGTCCGTCTGGGAACTGCATCCCTTTTCCCTTCTTGTCCACACATCTGCCGAAGGCCCTTCCCTTCCACGCGGTGCAGGAGAACAGCAGCGAAGAGCAAAATATTTTTAATTCCCAACCCCTTCAGGCACAGAGCGCTGCCGAGCGAAGACGTCTGGGCTAGACATCAGCCTGTTACGACCCTGGCTCTTTTGTAGCGGTAACGATCGCTCTCAATGTTCCTCCGGAAGGGACTGGCTGACTGAAGTTAATTTGCAAAACTTTCTTACATCTTTCAGCACTGCCAAAGCCTCCCACAGAATCAGCTGCAGGGGCTGCCAGGATCTCTCGCAGATGTACCAGGGCACAAGCCCACGGTGACAAAGGCTGTCTGTGTGGAGCTGCTCAACCTTGACGCATTAGGATGCATTATAGGAGCGCTGCCTTTCCTCTCAGGGCTGTCCCTCCCGGTGGCACCTCTCCCAGGGCAGAGGCATTTCTTTCAGCGCCAACGTTTGCGTGCCAGGAAGTTTAGAAGCATTACTGGCCCTCTGTGTATTCGAGCCCCTTGGCTTCAGAAAGTGCAGAGGATCCCTTCTTCCCGGGAGAGGCTCCAAGGCGGAGGGGACTCTCTGTTCTTCGGGGAAGCGGCACACAAAGACGTGTTGTAAGGGGGCAGGGAGAGGCAACCCGGGCAGCTGGGCTGGGAGCGGCGGGGACAAGTCGGACGCTACCTGGGGGCTCCCCCTGCCCTCCAGCATCACAGGCACAACCTCCGAGACCACAGAACTTCACGATCTTTTCCATTTCTAGCAGATATAACTTGGCAGAAGCCAAGACGTGCAGCCCGGTAGCAGCAGCTCGGGCACTCCGAGGACAGAGGAAACCCATCTGTCAACAAGACGGTCAGCGAGCGAGCCACGCGTTTCTTTAGCTCTTTTACCAACGGCAATGCCAGCCAACTCTCTCCTCCCCCAGAGAAATAAGGGAAACCGAGTAAAAGACGACTTTTCCTGTCATTTCACACGCCAACGGAGAGGACTGGAACCCGACCACCTCCTCCTGCCCCCCAAGTCGGTCAGAATCAGAACAGAGGTCACAGGCAGAGGCCAACCCTGGCGCCAGCGCAGAGGCGACGAGCTCCGAGGAAGAGGGCTGGCAGGCTCTGCCAAAAACCCACACATGAATCTTGCAGATGTTTTTATTTTCTTGGCCGCTTGGAACCCCGCGCGCTGTTTCCTCTCTGCTCTGCCATAAACGCGCACACAGCTCGGATCCAGGCAGCCCGAGCTCCATGCCAGGCTCTCCGCTGGCAGAACCCGATGTCCTCGGCAGCACACTGGGTGGGGAAGCTCGCGGCTTTCGTGCCGAGACCAATAATTTACACCAGACACCCTCTACGCCAGCTCCCGAAAACTTGGGTTTTGATCAGTCAGCGCTGCATCTCCTCCCCTGCCCTGCAGGGTCAAAACAATTCTGCGCCTATTAACTTCACTGTCAAGAGCAGAATTAAACCCTCGCGTTCCCCAGGGGACATGGGGCAGGGGGGAAGAGACTGACAGAGGAACAAAACGCAAATTGAAAACTACATCAAGAAGCCATTCGCTATTCCAACAATATCAGTAGGAAAGTTGTAAATTAAGAGGTCAAAGCAAAACCGCAGTTAAAAAAAAAAACACAAAACCAAGCCGTAGAGCTGAAAATTCTCACCGAGGCCGGGGTAGGTCCTGCGCTTGCTGAGATTGGCCGATTTCACCAGGAACATGCAGGATTGATGAGTCATCCAAGAACAGAAAATCAGCAGCAGAGCTCCCAGGACAATGCCACACTGAAACGGGAGAAGGGGGGGGGGGAAGACAAGCGCGAGATGGTAAGTCAGCCATTCCGCACAGCCTATCGTTAAATACTAAAATGACACCAGTTACCCAGGAATAGGCTTTCTTTGAGAGATTCTACTAGGAGGTTGTGGGGGCAGTGGTGGTGGGGTTGGCTTAGTTTGTGGAGGAGCTGGTTGCTGTTTAGATTGCTGGTTCAAAGCTTCTATAATGCTGGCTGGCTTTTCCAGGGAGGGGGGGGGGGGGGGGGGGAAGACAAGCGCGAGATGGAAAGTCAGTCATTCCGCACAGCCTATCGTCGTCCCTTAACACCTTTGGGCTCCCTCGCATATTGCCAGCCACACTTTTGCCTGTTAAGGGAGTTCCCTCGACTTCAGAGCAGCCGGGAGAGACACGACGCACGGGCGCAATTTTACTCTCTCCGCAGCCGGAGGATGACACAGAGCAGCCACCCGTTTCCCACAGGTTCCAGCTGCACCAATTTCAGCACCGAAGAGTGAACTGGGAGCCGTTTGCGGAGCAGAACTTCCACAGCTCCCCTCGTTCATCCCCCAGCGCCGTCAGCGGGTTCACACAGAGCAAAGACCACTCCTAATCCCGAGGTGCAAACTCTGCCGTAAACTTACTTAATAACAACTACTTGACAGCGTGAGCTAATTACCAAGTTCACTACCAGCGCTGTCCTGCCTCGCCGGTTCATGCGTTTGCAGCGGGGGATGTTAATCACCGGACACTTTTTAAGCAGGTGACTTTACACAGGGACAAGCGATGCCAGATCTTAATCACAGCTGCCCTTTTTTCTGCTGTATTTAAATCTGGTGTGGCCGTAGGGATGGGGGCAGCTCCTGGAGAGGGGGAGCGGGGGCACAGCTCAGCACAAGGGCTCAACAGCCGGTTTGCAAACGCCTCCGAGCCGACCCGCGCTTACCACGCGGATACGTTCTTTGATTCCCCCCCCCCCCCCCCCCCACCCCCCCAAGAAAGGCAGAAATGATTACTTGGAGACCTCACGACAAAGAAAAACACGTAGTTTGGTACGAGAGACACCCGATCTCAGTCTTCAGCACTTCCTTCGCTGACCGTCCTCTACCAACCACCACAAAACACTGAACCACCCTCCGAATTAGGACCGGGTGCAAACGTGCAGGTGCG